TTTTTTTGGCTTAATGAGTTGTTACGCGTGTCTCTCGAGGGAACGTTTTAGGAATGGTCATTTTTAGCAGTGAAATCTGCTGCGCAAAGGAGGATTATAACAAATCTCTGTGAATGATAGACTCGATTGCTAAACCTTGCCTTGACCAACCTTCTGACCCTCGGAGAGATCTCTCAGGGTGTGCGTGGGAAGGGGAAAAAAAACCCTTCCCATTTGAAAATAAACTTGAAAAAAAGACTAAATTTTTTTGGACAGCCTAACTGCTTTATAATTACTTTTTTTTTTGTCTTGTTTTGTGATAAGTTGTTTTAAAAAGGATTGTCCTACATGGTTGTTTTGTAACTGGTGGAGGAAGGAAGGAAGGATACCTCTCCAGCGTTTCTGATATGACAGCTTTGGTTTCTGAAGAGTTAACTGGTGCTTGCATGATACACCTATTGCTAGTCTGGTAGCAGACTTTTCATCTTTTTATTTGCTTTTTTTTAATTAACTGGGGCTGGTGGAGAGGGTTATCTTGGTCAGAAGAATATTTGCACATATATATATTGTATATATTTTTGGTGGGGTTCTCCCCACATTTTACTCTCTCTTGATGACTCCTGGAGGTGGTAGTGGGCCCATGAAAGACTGTGAATACAGTCAGATCAGCACACACAGCTCTTCGTCTCCCATGGAGTCTCCCCATAAGAAAAAGAAATCGGCTCCCAAGAGAAAATGGGAGGTTTTTCCTGGAAGAAACAAATTCTTCTGCAATGGGAGGATCATGATGGCTCGCCAGACTGGAGTCTTCTACCTGACTCTTGTTCTCATCTTGGTCACCAGTGGACTCTTCTTTGCATTTGAGTAAGTGACATTGAAGTCTTTATTCCTTCTTTTCCTCTAGTTATTTTCTGGCTGAAAGCAAAGAAACATGTTTATCCAGATGTCACAGAGAATGCTGAGTGAATTCAGCCAATGCTGGTTTATATAATTGAAAATATGATCTGATAACATGCTGGGGGATGCACAATCCGGTTTTGGTTATCATACTCTGTAGAAGACGGATGTTTGAGGATTAAGGCTGTAGTGCTTTTATACCACCCGCTTCCAGCTCTTGCTGATGTTGCAAGAGGAGTGTAAACCAGCAGGTTTGAGATGATCAGGAAATGATGTAGCTTCTTGTTTGTCAGTTACTCTGCTGAGAATCAAAACTGGCAGGTGCGAAAATACCAACCCTTTGTCACAGAACTGCATGCAACAAAAGCAATATCTTTAATTAGTTTATGAATAAGGCCTGGTTTTTGGACTTGGAGTTGTTTAATAGTTTGTAAATGAGAATTCCAAGTTAAAGAAAAAAAAAAAAAAAGCTGTAAAATTTTGCATGTACCTAGCTTTTCACCACTAGGTAACAGCATTACTTTCTGTTTGTGATGATAACTTGTATGTGAGTTTGGTCTTAGTTCAAGCTATGTTTGTTTTGGAGGTCTGGATTTTTTTTTTTAAGCAGGCTTCTGGTGTCCTAGGGCTTTTTTCCCTGTTGCTCAGAATCTTCAGGAGTCTTTTTATCTATATAAAGTGAACTTGCAGTGACATTAAATCAAATATACTGATTTTTGCACTTATGTTGGAGTGGTTAAATTAACTATGCATGACAGTAAAGAATTAGGCATTTGATATGAACAATACAGTTTGACTTTTATTCATTTATTTTTTTAAAGCCCCAAGTACAAAGGTGCTCACACTGCTAAAACACTTGTTGTAGTAATAATTGAATTCTTTTTAAAGAGTTAATGCTACTTTACCTGTTTTAAGCTATTGTAGCTTGATTTGTGGTTTGTGGCAGGAAAACATTTTTCAAATTACATATACAGCTCTTACTGTTTCCTTGAATGGGAACTATTATTTGTAATTAAGCTTCAGTGCTGCCTCCAGAAATTCTGTGTGCTTTGCTAAGTGATACAGTTGAACAATAAAGGTCGTTCCTTCATTGGCATCTTCAAGGAAGAGGATAGTGCCATTTAACAAACCTTAAATTCTATCAGTGAAATGTAGAGCACCTTAACATACTGGTAGTAGTAAAAAAGGTAAAAATGTTCAGCAGGTAACCAGTGGCTAAATATATATGTGAGCTCAGCAGATGAATTGTCTTTAGTGGGCTCCAGATTACTTTAGAGGGATTTATTAATTGTAAATCTTCTGCAGATGTTCTGAAGCCACTTGAAGTAGCTGAATAATGCAGCCAGTGATGGTATCCATGTGCTACAAGTGTGTTAACTTCCCTGGTTTTAAAGAGGTATTAAAGGTGTAACCTGATAGTATTGCATCAGGACTGGGTGCTACTCTCATCTATTTGCCACGATTAGGCCTAGTTTTGGAAAGCTTTTCTGTGTGGGCTGGCGCTCGCATCTTTGTGCGGTCTCATCACCTTCGGTAGAGCCTCTGAAGGCAAGCTCTGGACTTCCCGCAAATACCAGAATGTAAATGTAGGATCAAAACTGTAATGTTTTATAACCGTGATTATGAAACTTATTTATTAAGCCACCATTTACAATTTATTTACACGTTTTAACACTTTGATCCTTCAGAGAGAAATATTCTCTGCTGCTGCATTATTCAAAACTGCTAAAGCAGAATGAGCTGCTAGCTGTTCATCGCCTTCTGATTTCATTACTACTGTGAGTTATGTGCTCCATCAGAGTCTAACACTACAGCTTCTATCATGTCTTTGAGCTTATTTGTAGTGTAACTGTATGTGATGAACAACACTTTTAGTCAAGCTACAGCATTTTGATATATAATCGGTGCTTATTCTAACTGACAGTCTTGAAGCAGGGAAAAGGGCTTTATATAACTATATAAATTCTGTGTGTGTGTACTGGACTTGAGTCATTGTTGTATCACTTGCACTCTCCTTTTACGGAAAATCAAAGCAGAGGGTGGCAATGATATTTCATTTTTATAATAATAAGGTAGACTTTAGTCTTTAAAAAGCACTTGCACTGGAAAATTATTACTCATCCTCCGCAGGCTAATTTAAAAACAAACCTTAAGACTATGAGAATGTTTGTGGTGTTTGAACTGCAGAAGGTTGTTAATGTTACTATGAAAAAAGGGGAGTCTCTGATTAAAAAGCATTACTTTGCAGCAGTTTCTAACTGCATCGCTTCATAGTAGACTGAAGTTACTATTTATTGATCAGTTGAATAATGTCTTGAGTTGTTAAGAGTGTGACTTCTGTTATTTGGCTGATTTGGTTATGATGCTCCTTGTTAACCAGCTGTTTACAGAGTATGACCAAAATGTGTTTCAGTCCTTCATGTACAGCTGGGACAAAGTGATTTTTAAATGGACATGTGTCTGAACCCTAAGGTCAAGCTGTCGTTGAAGAGGAGGATACCCTGTATGTTCTTGAAATTGTTTGGTCTTTTTGCTACAATTGAAATAAATGATTTTGTTCCCTTTGATTTTTGGAAACTGAAAACAGGTACTTGTGTTCCAAGTCATTCCCTGGCTGCAGGCATTGAAAAGGGGGGAGGGGAGTAGGGAAGAGATGGCTTTGACAGCTAATTCCTGGGAAAGCATCATGCTAACATAAACACTTGCCCTTTATCCTTTTGGCTTCATTTGTTCCTCCAACATGATTTTCCCCCCTCTTCCTTTTATTTTGCTCTCGACACCATTCATCCAGAGCTCTATCTCACGTGCTTTGAAATCTTCTCCAGGGGAGAAATAAATTTCTCTGAATCAACAAATCCTATCTCTCCAAAAGCAAACATATGTTATACATCTTGACCTGTACAGCTTTTGGCATTGAACCATACCTTTGTAATCTTTGTTTCTTCATATTTATACTTCTGTGCTTTTTCCTGCTTACTTTTTCCAGCTCCTACTTCTGGCTAGTTTTATACCTTTCTCTCTGCTGACTTTTATCTCTCATATACTCCAACTACATCACCACTTCTTCCTTTTATCATTTCACTGTTCTCTTTCATTTTCAAAGAGGTAAGACAGAATTTGCTTAAAAGAAAAACAACAAATCATGAGCTTTCAAGCAGGTGAAATATTTATAATTCCTGCCTCCCTCACCTTCCAAAGGAAGAGAATGCAAATAACAAGCAGTTTTATTTCTGTAAGCTGTCTGTTAAATGTAACATGAATTATTGTGAGCACTGTTGGGTCCCAAGAGGGATGCTGTGCTTGAGGTAATGTTAAAAATTATCCTTATTTTTGAAATGTTCAAGTGAGGTACAAATTACTTAATTTGTCTTCAAAATTTGGGTATGTTATTTTATCTTGGAAACATATTTTCTGACTCTAACCACATGATATTTAGCTGGTTTTCTTTTTTCTTGCAAATTTGGCTCTGTGTTGCACTTCCTTTTTTTCCTTTGCCCTGCCCCATTACACAGACATATATATTTTTAAAAACTATTCAGTGCTTATGTAGAAGTAGCAGCATGAAAAGCTTGGTAAACGAATTCCTTTCCCCAGAGCAAAGATAGCATCTGTAACTGAAGGGCAGATCTCACTGCTGTACCTAGACAGTTCAACCACTGTATTTACATATATGTAAAGTCCTTTATCGGTGCAATAAAGAGAGGCAAAACTAAGGCACTTAATACTTACTGCTTTTATTCAGCTATGTATATATACTCAAAAGAGAAAGTGACCCTTCATGCCTATGGTCATTTGGGGTACTGTTTTTGTGGGTTATAGGAAAACAAAATGGAGGGTGACATATTTAACACAGTAGGATACATAAAACAGACATCTTGTTCTTAAATGGCAAGTCTTGTATGGATGCACAAGCTCTAGGGGTTCCAGGGTGGTGGTAGATGAGCTTGGCTGCTTTGCTACTGTGAGTTAATGCTGCCCCTGTGTGCCAGCCTACTTCCTTCTTGGACCTCACTGCACAGGTAGCAAGAGGGAACACGACTGCACCTCAGCTGCTTCAGGCAGGCAGATTTAACTTCCCCTAAAAGGTGGGTTTAAGTGAAGATGCCGGCTGAACTGAATTGACTCGGGCACAATCATGTTTTCTTCTGTCAACTCAGTTGCAGGGTGAGTGGCTCTGGAAGAAGGTTGGAGCAGATGGTAGAATGCCGGAAGGGCTGAAGCAGTGCAGCTTTTTTCTCTGTAAACGTGAGTCAGAGCCCTATCACTTCTGATACCATTTGACACTTGCACTGATTCAACAAACTGGAGATATTTTATTTTTTTTTTTTTTAGCTAGTTAACACTTGATTTTTGTGAGCATTTGTGTAATTGCACTGTCTTTCAAAAGATGGATGCTGGAAAATTATTTAAACGGAGATTGTTTATGTGCGTGTGTGTACAAATAATTTCTTTCTCTCTGCTCTTGCAGTTGCTGGCAACCTGCTCCATGCCTCCCACTTTGAAAGCCAGTGTGACTGGAGGACATTCATGAGTCACACTTTCTGATGCGGTGTAGATTGTTCAATATTGAACTTATATAGCATGCACACGCTATGGCAAAGTGGTGTAACTTGCTGCTTACTGTGACAAACCTCGATGTGTAAACACTGATGTCAGGAAGCTGAGCGTTTTCGCTGTGGTGTCAACAGTCATCTTCATCTTATGGCAAATGTTTTCTGCTCTTGCAGAAGGTGGATTCTTAGTGTGAGGTTGTATTCCAAGTAGGTGCAATGCTCTTCATCTAATAGTTTCCTTTATCTTTCTTTCTCTGCTCGAGTAGCTTACTTTCGTCTTTTGATGACCGTGTCCTTAAACTACAAGTTTCTTCGAAGGAATTGATACCAATCTGACTTCAGCTGTTAAAGGCTGATAGAAACTTGTAGGGCATTTCTTGCTGAAGATGTCAGAATGGATTTTTAAAGCAAAAA